ACCCCATAAGTTGTACATAAGGCTTTCTGACTTTGCTCGACAGTTAGTAAATACTTTTTTGCCTAACTTCCCCATCTGCGCATCCTCAATGACCTAATCTTTAATGTTCATGCTCTCCTCCACCTTCTGGACGACGTTTTAAAACAATCGGTCGTTCGTGCATGGCGACTCCAGCAGACGGACAAGGCCCATTGCGGTCTCGTCACCGCCCTACGCTGGTAAGCATTTACAGGACAACGGCTTGCTTCCTAGGCACCAACAGCAGCCACCGCAAACGACACGCGCGTGGGCACCATGTAGACCCGAAGCACCATAGTTGGCTGACTGGGTGGGGCAGTCACTACCAAAAGCAATACAACAGCTATGTATCCAATGAACTTACTAAAGTGCAGCCAAACATGGCACAGCTCAGAGGACTTATACAGGATCCGAGCAACTTCTCGACAGCCCAGGCGGATTCACCAGTGTCAGTCTTTAACGGAGTGACCACCATCGACGAGTATGACACTCTGTTATCGGATATACGGGACCCAGATATCCACAGACACCTAGTAAGATATATTCCCCATATTATATCTACTACCAGATTGTCCACCTAGCCCGTCTTGGTGGAACTAACGCCTTCGTCTTCGCAGATAGGGTGTTCAACAGCGTATTTGCAGACGAAATTACCGCCACGTTAACTTTTGAAGGTCGAGCACTGGAAAAGAGGTCCTTCCGTGGATTCCAGCTCCATGGCATCATTGTTGGTAAGCAGTGACCGACTGCGCCATTATTGCGACCGCGACCAATTGGAGAAGGCATTCAAGAATGCCTTCAAGAGGGCCCATGACCGCCACATGAAAAAGCAGCTTCGGTCACCGAACTGCGTGCGACGAAATGGTGAATCCAGTGACCATCCTAACTTATGACTGCCTGGCATTTGTCTCTCATCTTACAATTACACATCCACTTGTTAACCAATGTTAACTTACCTACGTACGAACGTCCTCCTACCCTAACGAGGACGACCAAGCGCCCGGGCCGTCCAGTCAGATGGCACGGTCAATGCACTCCTCTTGACGGTGCGGTCGGTGTCCCCTAACCCTAAAGCATAGTGTTTGGCCAATGCGGGTATACCGCAGGCCGGCGGCATTAAGCAGAATATACGCTAGGCCGAAAAGTATGCCTGCCATTGCGGCCCCCGCATATTCCTTCCACCGACCACACCGCGAGACTCCTTAGGAGAACGCCACCCCACACCCACGTCGACTGGATGCACCAGAACAATCACGACTACGAGATAAAGGATGAATCGAATTCGATTCGAGCTCAAATTGTTATTAGGGGTGGGAATCCCTCTATACACAGTTATCATTGCTAGCTTGAAATTAGTGTCATCACGCGCAAAGGCCAAATGGGAGCAGTCAACATATGGAAGGAATATGCAGGCGCCGTAATAACAGGTGCACTTGTCAGCATAGCAGCAATGCTGCTTATTGCCACTGGCCTGCGATATACCCGCATTGGCCGGGCACTGTGCTTTAGTGTCGGTGGACACCGAACGCGAATTGAATCTTCCAGTATTAACGTGTACAAGGCGCAGCTATTAAACGACAGGTCTGTAGGAGCCTGCCCCCCCCCAGTGCTGCCATGATCACTCATTCTGCCTGCTCTGCCAACGTGGCCAGTCAATCGATTTTTGCGCATCGCTGATTACTGGTTCACACTGGACTCGCCTCGCCATTTGTGATGACTGATCTACTAAGCGTGGATTGGCAGTCAAATCAGTCAATCAGG